CCAAAGAAGACCGATGGTGGCCCAGACGCATCAAAGAAGCGATGGAGATCGCCAGACACCCTAACAATATCAACGGCGACGCAGGGGTTGCGACTTCACGGATGCTTGGAAGCCGTTACTTCGGGGCACGCCGACCACGTGCTCACAGAAACCGGACCGCTTCATGCCGTCCGACCCCAGGCCGCGCCATGCGGGCCAATCGCGGACCGGCTTCGCGCCGTCCGATCCCGTCCACTCCGACCCGCCTGACGGACCTTTCCGCGCCGTCCGATCACGCGCCACCCGATTTGACCCGCCCGCGCTGCTAACTGGCGGCCTCCGATGGCCGCTGCTTCAAGCCAATAGACACGGCCTAGACCTTGAATATAAACACGAGCGCTGACCATCACGGCGCATACCAGCCCTGAGGAAGACCACGACAGGATGGTCGAAACGTCGGCAACTCACCCTCGGACGCGGCGTCACCCGGACAGCCCAGATCACCCACATGACTCTGGTCGCGGAAGCCTACGACTTCAAATATAATTTTATCATACATTTTACACTATCATACAATATCATTTTACACAGTAATGTAATCATTCTTAATGATTTATGCCTTCTGAATGAATTGTGTACATGATATTTTGGTATTACCTATCGTAGGAATAACTCAGCGCGAAAAATATGTTTGCTGGTTAACAGCAACAGAGACTTGTGACAAATAATTATCCTCGAAACAACGGCCCTTCTCCACGAAACTCTGAGACCGAACTCGACATTTAACCACTTCGGCCTCTCGGGTTATATAGAGAATTGGCACTTCTATAATAGTCATAAGTGCCGAAAGACAACAATTGATTTGCGAGACATAAGTTTTAAAATTCCAATAAGAGATGAGAAAAAATCCGAATATCACATACAGACACCGCTAGTTTATTTATCTTGATTAATACTATTTGCGATTACAATTGCTTCAAATGGTTATCAATAGAGTTTGTGATATCCTCAAGTATTTACTGCGGCAACACAATTGTTAAAAAATAATTCCCCCAAAACAAGACTCAAACCAGCCACTCTTCCCTCCGAAGAACTGGGCCCGTACCCACCAATTTAGCCACCTCGGCCATCACGTTCGGACATGAAATGAATACTTCTATAATAGTAATACAGAAATAGGTGTATGGTGGTTTCTAGCATTACGGAGCCGAGTAATTGAGAAAATGTGAAAAAAATTGTTTTTCGGGCGACAAAATGAAAGCGACCGTGTATAAAATGAGCAAACTTATGCAAATGAATGAAATAAATTTATGCAAAAACTACTCTTTTTTCAAAACATTTAACATTTTGTAAAGAGGTAATTTAGTACAACACTGCCTGAGATAATAACTTCAATTTTCAATTTTGTACTTTTAAATTTGTTTTTTTGTAATTTTCGATAAAAACGTAAAATAGCCGAAAATTGTTCGAGCACCATATTTCTTACCACTCCTTATTACACATGAGAAGGAAATTAAAAGAAAAAATATTGGAGCTGTTATTGAGAAAAAAATCATTAATTTCAAACGCATTATACGCAAAAACTACTATCTTTTACACAAAAGTACATGAAGTTTTTTAAAGACCTAACTGTGCTCAACTGACTTTGAGCGATAACCCTACATCAATTTTGTAGTTTAAATGATTTTTTTTGGATTTCCGAAAAATCGGGGATATTACTAAAAATGAGACCTGCACCATTCTCTCACACGTCTTTCGCACTATTGAACAATAAAATGTATCCAACCATTTGGCGCAGTTTTTTGAAAATTTTGGAGATGTCTGAAGGACTTCAGGGAAAGTACCTCCCAAAATGAAAATATCGGTTAAAAAATCCTGGGGCCTCGACATCAGCCAGATTCATTCAGGAATAACAACTTTGAAGAACATCGTCTTAATGGTTGACCACAGACGGACGGACAAAGGGACGTCTTGCCATCACTCAAATATTCGGTATCAAGCACCAACAAAAGATGGATTCTTGCCACACCACGTGTTATAGGATTTCCCTCCCTAAATTTAGCAACAGGATTTATTCACTTTTTTTTATACCAGAGCCCGACTATAAATCTTTTTTAGCGAAAATTCGTTTTCCGCCGCCCGATTACATACCTTTCTCTTGTTACGAAGTATTCGTAAGAAGAGAAACTTGGGGGAGGGAAATTTACCTAACTCACCAAATAAAATAAGATGATTGTGTAAAAACATTATTTTGTGTTACATTGTTACATCACATATTCCAGCACCTACTTTATGCAATAATTTATTGTGAAAATTATAATTTCTTGATGTTACAAGATGTTATGAGTATTCCAGTTTCTTCAATATGTTTTCTGATGTTATTTCTTAATTGTCCTATATTAGCATTATTTAGATCATATATCATGTGGCATTTATTGTATTCAAAATTTCTGACCATGTATATTTCATAGTTATAATTTTTAATAGAAATACCCAAATGACCAAAAATTATTTAGAATTTTAAAATATTGAACATATTCATAATTACTGAGTGGATATGGTATTGATTTATTACTGTTGTTAATCCAAAAATGAGATTCATTTCTTCTTTTTAAGCCCTGTACTCCTTTTTCTTTCTCCAAATTATGACATTACATTTCTTCTAATTCAGGTATTTTTATTTGATAAAACTCCATCAAAAATAGCATTCCTACCACATTAATATGGTGCTAATACAGATACGCACAAATAAATCCACCATATTTCCTGGATGTCATACTTTTTATTTGTGGGCATGGTAAATTTAGTGTCATACCAGATCGTTTCTTTATACTTTCATTTATATCTTTTATTTCTTTGAATGTTAAAATATCATCAAAAATAATATTTCTAACATCTGGCAAAAACGTAAATGTTATAGATTTCACTCTCGACATTAGTATTTAAAAAGTATTTAATAAATTCCCCATTTAGATTCTAACCACATACATAATTTTCTTCGATCAAAAGTAGTTCCAGTGAGTGAGGTAGAAAATATTCTTTTTTGATGGCTGTCTGTCTGTCCGTCAGTCAGTCTGCCTGTCTGTCCATCAGTCAGTCAGTCAGTCTGTCGGTCTGTCCATCAGTCAGTCAGTCAGTCTGTCGGTCTGTCCATCAGTCAGTCAGTCAGTCTGTCTGTCGGTCTGTCCATCAGTTCGTCAGTCACTGTCTGTCGGTCTGTCCATCAGTCAGTCAGTCAGTCAGTCTGGTCGGTCTGTCCATCAGTCAGTCAGTCAGTCTGTCTGTCGGGTCTGTCCATCAGTCAGTCAGTCAGTCTGTCTGTCGGTCTGTCCATCAGTCAGTCAGCTGTCTGTCGGTCTGGTCCATCAGTCAGTCAGTCAGTCCTGTCTGTCGGTCTGTCTCATCAGTCAGTCAGTCTGTCTGTCGGTCTGTCCATCAGTCATCAGTCAGTCTGTCTGTCGGTCTGTCCATCAGTCAGTCAGTCTGTCTGTCGGTCTGTCCATCAGTCAGTCAGTCTGTCTGTCGGTCTGTCCATCAGTCAGTCAGTTGTCTGTCGGTCTGTCCATCAGTCAGTCAGTCTGTCTGTCGGTCTGTCCATTCCAGTCAGTCAGTCTGTCTGTCGGCTGTCCATCAGTCAGTCAGTCTGTCTGTCGGTCTGTCCATCAGTCAGTCAGTCTGTCTGTCGTCTGTCCATCAGTCAGTCAGTCTGTCTGTCGCGTCTGTCCATCAGTCAGTCAGTCTGTCTGTCGGTCTGTCCATCAGTCAGTCAGTCTGTCTGTCGGTCTGTCCATCAGTCAGTCAGTCTGCTCTGTCGGTCTGTCCATCAGTCAGTCAGTCTGTCTGTCGGTCCTGTCCATCAGTCAGTCAGTCTGTCTGTCGCGTCTGTCCATCAGTCAGTCATGTCTGTCTGTGCGTCTGTCCATCAGTCAGTCAGTCTGTCTGTCGGTCTGTCCATCAGTCAGTCAGTCTGTCTGTCTGTCGGCTCTGTCCGTCAGTCAGTCGTCTGGTCTGTCGGTCTGTCTCAGTCAGTGGCTGTCTGTCGCGTCTGTCCATCAGTACAGTCAGTCTGTCTGTCTGTCGGTCTGTCCATCAGTCAGGTCAGTCTGTCTTGTCTGTCCATCAGTCAGTCAGTCTGTCTGTCTGTCTATCAGTCAGTCTGTTCTGTCTGTCTATCAGTCAGTCTGTCTGTCTGTCTATCAGTCAGTCTGTCTGTCTGTCTATCAGTCAGTCTGTCTGTCTGTATCAGTCAGGTCAAGTCTGTCTGTCTGTCTATCAAGTCAGTCAGTCAGTCGGTCTGTCTGTCTGTCTATCAGTCAGTCAGTCCAGTCGGTCTGTCTGTCTGTCTATCAGTCAGTCAATCTGTCTGTCTGTCTATTAGTCTGTCTGTCTGTCTGTCTATCAGTCAGTCTGTCTGTGCATTAGTCGGTCAGTCTGTCTGTCCATCAGTCAGTCAGTCTGTCTGTCATCAGTCAGTCAGTCTGTCTGTCCATCAGTCAGTCAGTCTGTCTCGTCCATTCAGTCAGTCAGTCTGTCTGTCCATCAGTCAGTCAGTCTGTCTGTCCATCAGTCAGTCAGTCTGTCTGTCCATCAGTCAGTCAGTCTGTCTGTCCATCAGTCAGTCAGTCAGTCAGTCTGTCTCTCCATCAGTCAGTCTGTCTCTCCGTCAGCCAGTAAGTCTGTCTCTCCGTCAGCCAGTAAGTCTGTCTCTCCGTCAGCCAGTAAGTCTGTCTCTCCGTCAGCCAGTAAGTCTGTCTCTCCGTCAGCCAGAAGTCTGCCTCGTCAGCAGTAAGTCTGTCTCTCCGTCAGCCAGTAAGTCTGTCTTCTCCGTCAGCCAGTAAGCTGTTCTCTTCCGTCAGCAGTAAGTCTGTCTCCCGTCAGCCAGTAAGTCTGTCCTCTCGTCAGCCAGTAAGTCTGTCTTCTCGTCAGCCAGTAAGTCTGTCTCTCCGTCAGCCAGTAAGGCTGTCTCTCGTCAGCCAGTAAGTCGGTCTCTCCATCAGCCAGTTTAAGTCTGTCTCTCCATCAGCCAGGTAAGTCTGTCTCTCATCAGCCAGTAAGTCTGTCTCTCCATCAGCCAGTAAGTCTGTCTCTCCATCAGCCAGTAAGTCTGTCTCTCCATCAGCCAGTAAGTCTGTCTCCATCAGACAGACATCCTTAATGATAGATCTTGAAATAAGGGCATGTACAATTTTTCACAAATATGAGTAGTTTTCGTGTACTTTTGCGCGAAATATAGAAAATTTTCAATGTTTCCTCTGTAAAACAGCACTTTTTTGTTAAATTTTCTCTTCATATATAAAGGCAAAAATGCGGTTCAGTCCAATTTTGAAAAAACAACTACAGGGTCACTAAATTCCAATTTCACTGCATCTGAATTCCAATCTGATAGATTTTAATGACCCGTTTCACTAGTCATTGCTGTAATTCATTACTGGAGCACGAATTGAGGAAACACCTGCGAAATCTTCATTATTTTTTAATTAATCACACATCTACTTATTGTTTTTAATGTTTTTATCCTGATGCCATCTACTGAAGGTGAACTATTGTGACATTAAAATAATGTCAATGTTGTTATCAATACACACAATTTATTTTGTCGTGATGAGCTGTGAAATTAAGTTATCTCCTATTAATATTTAGGAAGAACCATCAAAAGACTTTAGAAAAATTTCATTGCGGGGGTATATAAAACTTATATGTGTAAAAGGTACTAACTTTCAAGTGTTTAGTAAGTGACATAGAACTGTAAATGTTATACTTCAGAAAGACATCAAACATTTCTAGTCCACTCAACGGTACCAAAACGTCCATGACAGAATTAAGAACATTCACCATAATGACATTTCTGTAACATAAAAAATAGAACAAAAAGAAAACCAACGAACCTGCAAAAATGCAGCGGAGTCATTTTCTTTCAATGCCTCAATACAAAATTGCAGTAAACTAGTTGTGTGTTGTAGTTTACTGGTGCAAGTGGACACTTGATCTTTCAAGGCACGTAGTTTCATTTCTTTATTTTGCTGAACAATGTCAAGGAGTTGCTTTTTACGTTCTTGGAGGGCAGTAACAAGTGCATCACACTGAGCACTAACAATTTCTTCAAACTCTGCACAGTTATCCTGAAAAAAAAAAAGGTAAATTCAATGCTTCTAGTTATCAAGTTTGATAAAAAATAATGAGAAATAAGATTCCTTCATCATGCAATAATATTTTTTTACACGATTAGGTCTTGAGCGAAACATAAGTAATTATTTCCGAATGTGTCGATGGAAAAAACAAAGTTAACTATATCGATCAATCACATTTAAATATATTTACTGATACCTTCTCCTTACGAACAAATCAACCGAACAGCTAATTTAGTTCCCGTCCATTTAAGTTTTCTTTTTGGACTTTTGTTCGGAAAAAGTTTTGTTTTATTAGTTTGCATTTGTTTTAAATTAACTAACAATATTTGATTTAACTCATCTTATATTTTCAGTTTCACGTGAATTTTCGATTAAGAAGACATTGTTTTTTTTAAGAAGTAAAATTATTCAAGAAATATAAATGTTTTTTAAGACTATCAGTATCGTGAACAAAATATTATTACATACAGTGATATCCTTCGCATAATAGTATCAAACAATTTATTTTTAAGTTCTTATGTTTTATCTGTAAAAACTACTACGTTTCGCAACCCAATTGGTAGCATCTTCAGGTGTACTATAATACAGATTTTAAAATACAAACTTTTCTTTCGTCTCAATATACGAAATTTTGAATAACGTTGTAAAATGACAAGAGTTAATTACAATTAATCGAAGAAAAAACAAGTATGATGCAACAAAAACCAAAGGTAAACAATATTTTTCACTTAAAAATCTATTTGCACGAAGCACAAGTCTCCCCTGAGACAAATAAGGCACATTAAAAACACTATTAGATAAATTTAAAAATAGTAAGGCATTATACAATAAGATAAAATGGATGAAAGAGACTAATCGATCCCTTCAACAGTCAACCAACAGCGTCGAAAACAAATGATAACTTGTGGTGCTACTGAATAGCACAGAGTTTCTAGTATTACTTTTCTATTTTTTGTCTGTGCTAGCTTATTTGCTACATACTCTTGCCAGCTATCATCTATCGCCGCCGAAAGTACATTTTTTAATTTTCTCAATTTTTCGGTTTCTTAACAGTAGAACTGAAATTTTACTTATAGAATATTAAAGAAGAGTCAATCCTCGTCCTAAATGGCAATTTTCATTGAAAAATGTGGAGCTGTTCTTACGAAAATGGTAGTACCGCTCTAGTGTAAAAACGAAACTTTAAACTTATTCACAGACATCTTTTGAGTTTTTGAAAAACTTCATTGGAAGTCACTTAAAATCACTCCACTCAATTACCAATAATGTATACAAATCGCTGGAAATATACATATTGAAGGCGAGAGAGATATTTCAAAAAATTAAAATTTTGTAATAATAACAAAAGAATACATCAAAACGACATGTCATCTTAAACAGTGCTATTAGTATTATTCGTACAAAAAGTTTGAAATAAACGTTGGAACAGTTTTTGAGAAAATTGCGTTTGACAGTTTCTGAAAATGAGAAAATCTGAGCACATTTAGACAACTGTTGAGTTTTTGAGAAACATTATATGACATCATTCTAAACACATGCTTTATAGAATATTTTATTCTCGGTACACAGCTCTGTATCATTTGTTAGGATTGAAAGAATGTCTACCTCCGTTTTCTTCGTGGCGTGTTTTGCTGCCTGGTCAGCAATTTCGTTCCCTATTATCCAATTATAACGACGCACCAGCAAATAATGGATTTGGTGTTGGATGATCACTGTCAGAAGGGTACAAGAAGAGAAGCAGGAAAGATTCGAGCGAGCTTTCTGAATCACTGCAGATCACATCTTTTAATGTCATCGATTCAACAAACTTAATTGCCGCCAAGAGCGCATATTTTTCCTGCAGTATAAATGCTTCATGAGTCTAGTCGAAGACTCCGCGAGGCACTGTGGCAGTAGAGTGCACACCTTACATTACCATTTTGGGATCAACCATCAGTGTCTTAAGTTAGCAGGGATACATGGATTTCGTCTCCTAAAATTTCGCACGAAATGTATTAGGGGGAGTTGAGAATTTGGGGAACTGTGATAATTGCAGGTCTATTATATGCCGGAGCAGCTTCCTGGGGGAACAAGAATTAAGGGGTTGCACAGGGATGGGGAGCTTTAAACCGAGTTTCTGCAAGAGCGCGTAGAGACGGATACCCGGAGGATGGTTAATGATGGTCTGAGTGAGTACGATGTCTTGTGACTTGGGAGAAGAACTGCTTGGCGCGAAGGAATATTTATAGCTGATGCTTTCGCACCATAGGAGCCGATTACAATATATCGCCTTCGGCACAGAGATTGTTCACCACTCAGCCAAGAGGCATGCAATCCGACTCGTGCGGTAGGCGCTGAGCTGGTCCGTATACAGGCATTGGTATGGTATTCAATGACCGAAGGGTCGATAGAGACGCTGACTCATTAACAATATCAAATCAATTTCAAACTCATTATCTAAAATAGGTCGGACGATTGTCCTATATAGGCGTAAAAGACATACACGGTTTGCGCCCCATGATCTGCCAATAAGGATGTGAAGGAGGTTCGATGGAGATACACAGCGGCTCTGCACATTTTGAATGTATTTTTGCCATGTTAAACTTAACGAGGGCAAGCCAAGGAAATTGATCAACCAAGGGAAGTTGATGACCCCTCCAAAAAAAGATCAGGATGATTATGGAGGTGATATATTCTACAGAAGTGCATGCAACTGCATTTTGAGATGGAGAACTTGAATACAGTTTCATCGCTAATCGAAAATCTAATAGAGATGAACGGTGCCGTTCCCTAAGACTCCAATAATGCAAAGTGCTTAATTCAAGGTGGTGTCACACGCTTTCTCTATGTCGAAAAAGCACGATAGGACTGGCACGATCTGAGTGGCAAAGGAGACTAAGTGATCCATGTGCTTCCTGAAACCACACTGAAAAGGTGTAAATAAATTCCTCTCCTCTAGGATCCACACCAGACGTTTGTTTACCATTCGGTCTAAAAACTTGCACACACAGCTTGTGCGCGAGATTAACAACTTGAAGTGATTGTTTTGTCCTTTCCTTTCTTTAGGGATTGGAATAACAATGGCTTCACACCAAATCCTTGATAAGGAATGTTCATCCCAAATCAGGTTGAAAATGCGGAGAAGAAAAAACGACCATTTTACGGTAGGTGTTTAAGCATTTGGATATGTAACTGGTCTGGACCTGCAGCAGAATCTTTTGCACAAGCGAGGACACAGGGAAATTCATCCGTGGAGAAAGAAGCATTGTAATCTTCCTCCACGCAACTCGAGAAATCTAGTCAGCAGTTCTTCATTCTTTTGGTATTCAGAAAGCTAGGTGAGTAATGTACGGAGTTGGAGATATGCTCGTAGTGAAAGGCCAATTCAACTATATCTGCCGGTGAGGTTGGAAGATTTCCATTTACTAGAAGCCCTGTGAGCGACGGCGAAGGAAGTCTTCCACCGATCTGTCGAACCTTTCGCCACACTACTTTAGGGGGCGTATGGACAGTGAGTGATGAAATATAACCTCCCCAACACTTGGCCTTACTTTCCCGTATGGTCCCGTCTGTGGATCTTTTATTGTTTATCAGATTATCCATGGTTGGGAACCTACTAAGCATTGCCAGTGTCCGTTTCCGATCACGCACCACGGTGGCACAGTCTGCATTCCACCATGGCACGAGAGGATGTCGTGTTTGTGGCCGCATAAAAAAAAGGCATCAGTCAAATGCGCACCCATAGCATCGATGTCGTTTGGGCAGTTTCCCGATATCCGTATCGTTTTCTCCAATGTTTCTCACTTAGCTCGGCGCATTAGCCAGCGGAGACGACGGGCTACATTTGGGCCGGGAATATCAAAATTCACCAGAATGGAGAAGTGGTCACTGCCATGCAGGTCGCCAAAGACAGTCCACTCAAAGATGGTACGAGTAGAGAGAGATGTACTGCAGAGAGCAATATCGACAGAAGAGAAAGTGTTTGAAGCAACGGAAATGTGTGCTTTCGCCAGTATTCAGAAAAATTATGTTCTGGTTGTCAATAATATGTTCACGTATATTGCCTCTCGAGCAAGGCAGACTGTATAAGGTCTATGGCAACGAATTATGAATCTTAATTCTTCTGAATTGGCACGAAGGCCGAATAGAATCCACGAGCGTGCTATTGTCGGTAATTACTTCTTACGCTTTTTCATTCTCACCTTCTGAAGGTTTTAGAGGAACTCTCGTGGTGCTTGTCAACAGCAGAGTCATACTAACTGCTGCTGGAGATAGTTGCATGTGTTAGGGGCGGGAGTTTCCCGTATCTTTTTTCTTTCCTTTTTTCTTTAAGGGAAACTCTTCCTTAGTGGAAACAATGTGTCTGAGGGAGATTTTGGCTTTGTTTTTTTAAACTTTGTTGGTATTTTTACCTTTCCACTTTGGATGCACGCCTTATCATCAGGGAAGTCTATAGGCAAAAACAGACAAATGATCTGCGCTATTAGAGCAGGTGCACGTTGTGTTTGACAACTAGCTGTTACCCCTGAGGACTTAAGGTTTTAAAGTACTGGAGACGGATCATCACAGGTCTACTGGATTTCTAGCCTGGTGCCGGCGTTTGGCCTCAGGGAAGGAAATATTTTCGGTAATTTACTTTCTGCATCTCTCTTTAGACTTAATAAGTCTCTATTTCATAAAAAAAAAACAGTAAAAACTGTATGTGACGTATGGGGCAGAAGATTATCTGCGCACGTTTTCTAGAGTTCCAGAATCCGTTCCCGTTATTTTAACTATAAATGGTTGAAAGATAAGTAACACTAAACAAAATTACGAAACTGCGGTATTAGCAATATTTGAAAAAATAGACATTTTCGTTCCCGAGTTATAGAAACTTATTTGCTTCTGTAAACGAATTGCAAGTATGATTATTATACAAAACAATGATAACAAAATAGTAACTCCCCCTTACATCTACTCCCACAACTACAAGCAAGAGTTCAACAAAATGTGCGCATAGTGAAGCTACATTT